TTCACTACAAACACACTAAATTCATTATACACAATTTGCACTTACTACAAACACACTACATTCATTATACACACCCTGCACTGCACTATATGCATAGGAGTGTAATTTTTTTTTTAAGGGGGGGGAGGGGAGGTGAGAATCTTGGGTGAGTTCCCACACTTTTTCCCCCAGGACTTGACCCCTGGGTATGATAACATGGAAAAAATTGAATCTGAATCTTAAGAATATTTTACTAAGGTTAGTCTTTGTCTTTTGACCAGGGATGGGCAGGGTTTGTCAGACTGCGATGTTTTTGCAAGACACATACTGTAAGGTGGTGCAAGATAAACACTCCCAGCATGTATATAGCATGTATATGATGCAGTAGAAAGTCTATAGTGGCATTTTAATTTGTGAATTTTGTTGTGACTTTTATTACTATAATTTATGTGCATATGAATGTTGCATGTTGATAGCAGTAAGTTTTATCCGTGGTACAAAGCATTTACATATAGCACAAAAATGAGGAGGATTGCTAGCTTATTCAAACTTTTATGACTTAGCTGTTATGATAAAAAACCAAAACGAATTGAATGTTCACCTTGGCTTGTTAAAAAAGGTTATATCTCTTTTAAAGAAAAGCTGTAAAACATAAAATGCATGCTTACCTGTTTTAAATCACGTAGTATGTAAGGCTTGATATAATTCATTTTTATACATTGTGTCTCCATCTAAGTTCATGTGCCCTAGTTAAAATCACCAAACAGATTTCGATTTTATTTCTAATTTTATGGTACCTTGATGCAAATTTTACATTACTTTTTAAATATTTGCTAAAGATGGCATAATGTATTTCCTATAATGCTTCTATGTAAACTTCTATAGTTTAGTGCCCAACAAAACCAGCTTTGAAGGTGTTAAATTGTTGGGCGCTAGATGCTAGACATGTGCATTCTGATCCAATCACAATTCGGCCAAATTTGGGGTGACATATCACAATCAAACAAAACAGCAATAGATAAACCATTTCATTTGTTTGGAGTTCTTTCGCTGGCGACAAAAGAAGTGAGAGAGAATAGAGAAGAAGATGATTTTTTGGGTGAGGCGGCAAATAAGTAACTTATATTGCCATGGTTACATATCTGAAAAGAGACTTGCGTCCATCAAGTTCAGGCTTCCTCATTTTTGCTGTTGATCCTAAAGAAGTCGAAAAACCCAGTCTGAAGCAGTTCCAATTTTGCAACAAACTAGGAAAAAATCCCTTCTTGACTCCAAAATGGCAGTCAGATATCTCCTTGGATCAAGCAGCTATTACCCCAATAATTAGAAATTATATCCCTGTATGTTATGTTTTTGCAAGTATTACCCAATTGCTATATACATAAAACAGACATACGCTGCCTGCATCTCAAACCAGCTGTTCAAACAGCTGGGGACAGTCAGGAATCAAGTCTTCAAGTATATAAGAAGCCTTCATGAAGGAAGGATTTACCCCTGATGAAGTCTAACAAGGCGAAACACGTTGGATTTACGGACTTTGTTGCTGCTAAAATCTACCCCCACTGTTGTACCTTCGCTTTTTGGATATTTTTTGGAGATCCTTGGGCCCACAGAGAGTGGTGATATGCAATTATTGTTTGGAAATCTTGTAAGTGCAATCTACTATTAAATTATTGAAGATATACTGTGGTGCACTATTTTCTCTTATTTTGTTTATAGACAACTAGACATCTACTGAATCAAGGACATCTTTTCTACAGTTATTCCCCTTCTGGGGAGATGAGCCTTAATTACATCTAAGTCGCCCCCCTTTATTAAAACCACCTCTTCAGGCAGAGAATTCCACATCCTTATAGTTCTTACTGTAAAAAACACTTTTCTTAGACTATAAACACTTGCCTTAGACTATATCTCCTTTCTTCCAGCCTAAATGTGACCTTGTGTCCTATGTATAGCCCTGTTTGTGAATAGATTTCCAGATAACGGTTTGTACCATATTTGCATAATGTTATCATATCCCCTCTGAGATGCCGTTTTTTTTTTACACCAAAGAGATTTACATTTTTGAACCTTTCTTCTAACTAAAATGCTCCATTCCTTTGGTCAAGTTTTGTAGCTCGTCTCTGCAATTTTTTAGAATAGGTGCCTGATATTGCACAGCATATTCATGAAAATAACATTTTGCCTCTTTATAAATCGATGGTAAGACCACACCGGTCTTACCAGCAAATTATAAAGAGGCAAAATTTTATTTTCATCCCGAGAATTTATGCCCCTATGTATACATGACAAAACCTTACTGAACAATGAGGTCCATAATAAACAAGAGGTCGGTGGGTGTGTTTGTGTGAGTACTTGTGCATTCAGTTTTAAACTGATTGTCTGAATATTGGCCCCGAAACACCACATGGACTAAACTAGAGTCTCCCTAGACAATATTTTTTTTTGCCACGGAGGGAGTATTCTTGTCCTTTATGGGACAGCATATACAAATATACAAACTAAAAAAAATTAGGGAAAAGTATGTAATAAAAATTTATAAACAAGAGAGGGCTGACCAGTAGGGTTATTAATTAAAGTGAAAATTGTCAAGAATTAAAAATGAATTACAAATTTAAAAAAAGGAAACATTCTCCACGTCAGCTGTATTTTCAGTTCAGCTACTTTGGTCTTAAATCTGAAATTCACTTTTAATTCAATTTGAACTTCCACACAATTTTTAATGGGAGGTAAGAGATAAGCTCACACATCAGATCTTTTTTTTTTTTTTTGAATATTTAATCTTTATTTTATATTTTTTTCTTTTAAATCTCATTAAATACATATGTCATACAAATACAAATATCATACAAATATACATTTATAATACAAAAAACAACACAGCAGCAAAATAGGGGAGGGAAGAGAAAAATACATCAAAAAGACTTCCATAGTAGAGTGGTAATATCATTTAGATAAGTCTCAATTATTTACAATGTTCATGGAATTATTCTACTACTAATTGATCGGCATTATTTTCTACATCAATCATCTCAATACACTTTGACCAAACAGAAATCTTATTGCTTAATCTTTGTTTACTTAGCATCAGCTCCATTCTAATCTGAAACTCGAGTTGAATTTTGACTTTCTTCCAGGGGACTTCTAAATCTCTTTTCCACCATCTCGCAATTACTATTTTAGCCGCTAAAAACAGATGTATAAGAATTGCTTTTAATTCATATGTCATATGAGGCCAATTCAGATGAAGTAGAACTACCTCTGGAGAAATTATCAACTCGAGTTTTAAATTGTTAGATATAAAATGCTGCATTTTCAACCAGAGATTTTTTAATTTATAACAATCCCACCAAATATGTCTAAAATTGCCTCTAATACTATTGCATCTCCAACAGATAGGATTTACTAGAGAGTAAATTTTATTCAATTTAGCTGGTACTAAGTACCACCTATTTAAAACTTTAAAGTGCGTTTCTAATAAATTTAATGAATTTAATGAATCAGATCTTTAAATGTATGTCGTTTGCTTTTACACTAAAACTTAATTTGAATTTTTTTATTCAAACTTTAGCAGTTCTTTAAAAAAGTCAGATCAAATATAACAACTTATCCAAAGTAACAACAAGAAATAAAAATAAAAGATCCACCTGTTCATTTTAGCAGGATGTATCTCCATAAGTACCTTATGGAGTGAATTAGAGATCACCAAGTCAAATATGGATCCACTCAATGGCAAATAGGCTAGT